TGGTGTATTTCTGAATGGCTCAAAAGAGTCTGAAGTCCTTATTTTTAGACGTGAAGAGCAGAGACTCCTCGGAAAGGGCCATTTCCATGCTGGTCCTGCTCCCATCTCCCGCTGTGATAAACCTCACACCCTCAGAAGCGATGCAAGTCCATTCCTCCCTGGGATAAAGAGGGCCCCAGTGCTGCATGGGAGAAGGGAGATGCTGGCAGTGGAGACAAAGGGATGAGGCCGCCCCCCAACCACAGAGACCGTCAAAGAGGGGGGCACACCTGTGCCAGCCCCGGGCAACCTCGCCCCTCCTGCATCGACCTCTGAGGCCTAGAGCGCTTCACAGTGCAATCTGTTCACACCGTGATGAGGGATTATCCCTTAAAAAGCCACTAAGTCATTCATTGGAGCTTCCGGTACAGTTGGGGCATTGTGTACATTTGTACACTGGCATTTATGTTTCAGTAGGACGTGTGGCCTTCTCTTTGCCCTGCTTGCTGAGGATGGATTCACACTTGCCTGGGGATCCCGCAGCTCCAGAGCCGAGGAAAGATGCAAAGTCCCGACACCCTGGAGAGAGCCCAGGACTCAGCAGGTCCCGCCCAATACTAGGACTCCTCTTAAAAGAAGAGGCCCCGAGCTGGGGCCACTGCCCCATGCCACCGCTCCCCTTCCGAGGCTTGTCACCTGATGAAACACTTCCTGGGGTTTGCGCGACTCTGCCTGCTCCACTCCGGTGCTGCCGCTCCCGCCCCGGTCAAGTGCTCTGGTCTTCATTGTGTTTCAGGCACATCGATGTCCTGCCGCTCCCGCGGAGGTCTTCCCGGCTCATCTCCTGAGACCCTTCGCTCACATCTGCAGACAGCCCGCAGGACCACAGCGCTGGGTGGTCATCTCCCGACGGCACGCGCCCCGGGAGACCCTGAGCTGTGAGGGCGCCCTGCAGCGTCCACGCCTGCATCGCCGACGGGAGGGGAGGCGCCTCCGATGAGCACGGACGGCAAGACGACTGGCCTCCACGCTACGCTTCTCGGGGCCAGCAGGCTCTCTTCAGGTCTGCGTCTAACAGCAAATCACCACCTTCACTCTCAACACGTCAGTCTAGCATATACCTAAAAATGGACTCCTTCAAACACGTGTTCAATTTTAGAGGGTTTACCCAACTCGCTCAAGTTGTGCTAATAAAGACCCTGTGGTGCTGCCGTTCCTCCTTGGCCAACCACAGGCCGGCGGGGCGTGGCATCAACAGGGTTCCCAGAGGCCACAACATCCCTGCCCAGCCCAACCTCCAACTCACTCCCGCAAACCACACGCTCGTTCAGACAAAGCCACTGCCGAGTGCCATAGCATTTGAGCTCATGGTACATGCTGATCAGTACACAGAGGTGCTATCTATCCAAGAGAGGGAAATGCACTGGGCCTGCCAGCCCTGTTTAAAACAGGCAGTTCTGACTCTCCTGGTTTTTCCTGGAGCTCTAATAGCACTTCTTTGATGAATTTAAGGGGCATTAATAAAATATATCTATGACCCTAAGGCCATTTACTCTGAACATAATTTATAAGACAGATCAACTTAAGATATCACTTATATAATATATCCATACATTAATTACATATTAATATACTATATATAATATGATATACCTGCCTCCTGAGAAATCTGTATGCAGGTCAAGAAGCAATAGTTAGAACCAGACATTGAACAACAGACTGGTTCCAAATTGGGAAAGGAGCATGTCAAGGCTGTATATCGTCACCCTGCTTATATGCAGATTACATCATATGAAATACTGTGATGGATGAAGCACAAGCTGGAATCAAGATTGCCAGGAGAAATATCAATCACCTCGGATATGCAGATGACACCACCNCTGAAGGCAGGAGGAGAAGGGGATGAGAGAGGATGAGATGGTTGGATGGCATCACCGACTCAATGGACATGAGTTTCGATAAACTCTGGGAGTTGGTGATGGACAGGGAGGCCTGGCGTGCTGCAGTCCATGGGGTTGCAAAGAGTTGGACATGACTGAGTGACTGAACTGAACTGATATTTATAAATGCATAAAATTATCCAATATAAAACAAAATAATATTTAAATTTATCAATTTATAGCAAATATAAAATTTAAACCAGTAACTTTCAATAACATATCTGAAAATTTACATGTAAAATGTTTTAATGAGTCTATTTGAAATTTTCTCACAAATTACAGCAAAATTGAAACAATGTATCATTTAACTACCTTCCAACTTTACTTGTTCCCCTCTCTAAATTCTCCGTCAAGCAGTCGGTAGCATAGAAACAACCCCCTAAATGTACTCTTCGTGGCTTCCTGGGTGACTCAAATGGCAAAGAATCTGCCCGCAGTGCAGGGGACCCGAGCTGGTCCCTGGGTCAGGAAGCGCTCCTGGAGAAGGGCACGTCAACCCACTCCAGTATTCTTGCCCAGAGAATCCCATGGACAGAAATACATTCTTTGAACTTAGGGTCATTTAACACATACTTTCCAGATTACTAATTTCTAAGAATTCTGAAATGTATCGAAAAATCAAAACTTTCATGTATCAGTTCAGAAACTTCCATCTCAAAACAAAAGCTTTGACTTAGTAAAATAGGTCTGATGCTAGAGTCTCCAAAAGATATGTAAGCCATATTACAGTCTTACGGTTCGTAATTCCAAAAAACAGTCCAAGAATCCAAGGAAGGGACCTGACAAATGGAAGATGAGGTGGACAGTTACTCTACAATAGACCATGTTAGTATGAAATGATTATTTTATTTCAACCTTTAATATAGCTTAGTCAAAAAAGTCAAGGGCTTCCAGGTAATGCTAGTGGTAAAGAATCTGCCTGCCAGTGCAGGAGATGAAAGTTTGATCCCTGGGTCAGGAAGATCCCTTGGAGGAGAAAATGGCAATCCACTCCAGTATTACTGCCTGGGAAATTCCATGGACACAGGAGCCTGCTGAGCTACATGGGGTGACATGAGTGCATGTCACCATAAGTCCACGGGGTGACAAAGAGTCAGACATGACTGGATGCCTGAGCACACATCACAAAATGCCAGAAGGTAAAAGTTACACGGGCGTGCCTCAAGTATGAAATATGTGCCATAAAATGGCAAGTAAAAACACCCTGTGATAGAAAAGCTGTGAGAATTTGCCAGAAGCTTCTTCAACTAAGTGGATATTTAGCATTCCCACAGGATGGGTTTTCTAAGAACATTCAGGTAGAATGCAAATGTCAGTATGATATTCAGGAGTGAACCGACAGGAGGAAAGGTCACTCAAAGCTTTTGTTTGAACAATGAACTAATTTCACTATTTTTTAAACCATATGTGCTGATGACTTTGGTGACAGCATTGACCATGCACTAGGAAAGTAACATATTCTACTTTCATGCCCCAAAGGGACATCTAAAGCCCTGGGACACTTGAATATTACATGCTCTCTGATCCTCTCTTGTCATCATCCAGTTAGAAAGCACATGTGACCACCTTAGTGTAAAATAAATGTATGCACGTATGATGCTGCTCAGACATCGGTGACTCAGTGACAGATGATGACAAGGACAGAGGCACGTTTCAGTCAAGAATCACAGCTTCAGCCTGTGAAAACACACAAATGCAATAAGGCCCCTACCCAGGACCCTTCAGCTGCGAACTTTCAAAGACGTGAACGTGAGTGTGCACATGTTCCAGTCAGATAAGTCGGCTCATGTGTCTGGCATACACTGTCACACGCATGCATCCTCTTGTAGAGGACAGTAGTACAGTGTCTTTCTTTCAGGCCCAGGAGGTCCAGAAGCAACAATAAAAGCAGTGGTGAGGCAGCTGGAACTACTGTACTTTTCAAGGTATTCTACTGTAAGATTAAAGATGTTTTCTTTACTTTTTTTGTTTGTTTTTTAAATGTATGATTTGTGTGAAAATACTATAAACCTATTACAGCTCAGTACTATATAGCCCATTGTGTTAGCTGGGTACCTAGGCTAAATTTGTTGGACTTACGAACAAATTGGACTTATGAATGCACTCTCGGAACTGAACTTGCTCATGTGTAGGGGACTTACTGGAGTTGGGTGTTCTTTCTGACTTATTGATAAATAGCACCCAGAGCAAATTAGACTCATAAGGCAGATAAAGAGGGAGGAAAACAAATATGTCTCCCAAACCAGCAATGAACTATCCACAGGTACATGTCCTTATTACTAAATTTTAGAGCTACACACTGCGACAGTCTTGGTAGGTAGGAAATTACAAGGAAGATAATGAAATTCTGAAGTCATAAAATATCCTATAATGGAAGGTGTTGCAAGATAATTGTGGCATGGGTAACATTTGCTTTTGTAATATGATCATATGTTAAGGTGATTTTTAAAATCAACTTAAAAATTCATAAGATGATTTTATTCTCTTGTTACTATATAGGTTTATTATATCATCTTTCAACCGGAGATTATTTCATGGGAGTCTGTTCCAGGACAAATGTTCTCTCAGGTCACTAGACTCCAAAGATAGAACCGAATCCATCTCCCAAGCAGCACACTTTCATAGACCTTCGCCAGTATCAACCCCCCACTGCCCCCCCACACAAATCTTACATGTGTCTGTATCCTGTGGACCGCAGAGCCATGAACCTTTTCCTACATAAGAAACACTTTTAAAAAGAGTTGCCTGATCAATTAGAGCCCCTCCTAAGAGCTATCAGCAGAGGATTTGGTCCCATTCTAAAAACAGAGCACCAAAAACGTGATTCTGTGCAAATTGTTTCAACCATCACTTCACCATAAAATAGATTCCATTCTCCAAAAACACAGTGAATAAGCAAACCCAAACTCAATTTCTTTATGAAGAGGAATCCTGACCACAGAAAAGGGATTATATTTTACTGGAAGAATTATGTCATTAAAATGACAAAGATAGTTTTCATACCTAGAACTAGTCTGTAGCTAAACTGAGCAAACAAACAGAAAATCAACCGCACGCTGTCACTGCTCTCTGGGCACCAACCTGGTGGGGGCTGAGGCGCTAACACCACTGCGGGCAGAGGCCTGGAGGCAGGGGCTGGTCTGGACAGAGACATGGCCACTTGGTTTGTCCATAGCTGAGGCTTTTGGTGCCCGTGAAACAACCTCGATTCCTCAGGATACACCCACGTTGAGTCCAGAGCAAAGGAATTATTTACAAAGATCTGTCCAAAGAGAAGCAAGCATAACATGTAAGACCATGCACAAAACAAAAGCTGAAGACTGTACAATACTTATCCTGCCTAATATTGAATCCTGAAGATCCTATGGGTGGGAAAAGCACTCTAGATGCTTGGGGTTCTGATATCAATCACCTTCGAGGCCTGGTCTCTAGCTGTTCACTTGGCTCTTCATTCCAGCAGCCAGTTAGCAGACGAGAGTCTCCCCACTGAAGTGAGCAGCATGTGGGGGAACAGGTCACTGTACTGCTTTCCCTTGGTTTTCAAGTAAACAAAGTGTGGCCAGTATATTTTAATTCAAAAGTCAAGACAAACCATTAGAAAGATGACTACTCAAAGCAATAGTGGCAAGAAAATGCTTTTAAAATGTATTTTTGAGTTATACGTTTACGGCTAGATTCTGATCAATGGGTACAAATTTAAAAACTGAAAAATCCAGAAGGTAGATTCTGATTCAGAAGTAGAACTTTTCTATTTTTCTATGGATTCCAAATATTTTAAGCTAAAACAAAATCCCCCACCATCACCATCTACTGGTGCTTTTGAACAGGCCAGTTTTATTCTGAAAAGGTTCCTCTCTAGACCTAATGGTGGATCCACTGCAATAAGAAACCAGAAATACACCATGATTTCTGTTATGGGAATACCCAACAACTTAGTAATGAGTAGCCCATCTGTCCAATCAAACTACTGCATTTTTACCTTACAGTTAGGGATCCTTTTGTCTGTCCAGCTTTTCCCAGCAGGAAGTGGAAGAGCGGATGTGCAGACATGTGGGAAAACGGGCAGCATTCCCACAGAGGACGTGGGGGACAGTCCAATCGCTGGGGAATGACCACCAAACAGCCACTGGAACCCAAGGAGAGAGAAGGGCATGCTCATTAGCCTGTATCAATCAACTCGACTTCATCCCAAAAGATGCTGGGGTAGTTGCTTTAAAAGGGAACTTTAAAATGCATGTGTTTGGCTATGAGAAAAATTTCCTCTTTCCAGTCCCTAAACCCCACAAATATTCAAAAATTCTAAAAATTTATAAAAGTTTCTGTATCAGAATCATCACAATGCATTAACAACGCTGCATTCTTTAACATTAGGCAAGAACTTCTGAAGCACAAAATCACGAGAACATGTTAAGAAATTAATTTCTGTCCTGAGAACAAGAGAAACCACAGTGGAAAGGTGAAATGCTGGGTATTCCTTTTATAATTCTTGAATTCTTTTCATAAGCAAGCAGAGAGCTATATTTTATTATATCCTTTTCCATACAACATCTCATATTAATTATACTCATCACCTTAAAAATAGGGACTAGAAATATTTTCAAAATAAGAGGTTAAGATTCAAAGTTTTCCAAGGTCCACAAATGCAAATAGATTCCAAGGCAAAGAAAATGTAAGTGAGATTATCACATAACTAAAAATCCCAGTGCAGAGAATAAGACAGCAAACGTTGAAAGGGGGCAGACAGTTTAGGAGACAGTCTCTCTAATTAAATTAACTGAATCTTTATCAGTGGAGAATAGGTTCATTGTTCAATGATATGGAATGCTTCAATATGTATTTGTTTTAAAATCATAAAAGCATTTTTTAATTTCCTGTTATGTGAAAATGTTCTTCTAGGATAAATACTGCTATTTAACAGAAAATATGCAGCACAAAATATTTTAAAGATTAATATTGTTTGGGAGAGGTTTTGTGTTTTAAATTTACACAAGAAAAAAAATGAGTTTTCCATACGGGGATAATTGTAGTTCCTTGACATTATATACCTCTAGTGGTAGCACTTGGATATGACAACCCCTTCAAAATAGCAAAAAAAAAAAAAAGGAAAAGAATNAAAAAAAAAAAAAAAAAAAAAAAAAAAAAAAAAAAAAGGTAAAGAAAGAAAAGGAAAAACTACCAATGCTTACTAAAAAAAAATTTAAAAATACAATATGAACATGAACTGCATCACACATCAAAACACCATATCCAGTGCCACATATGTGATGTATCATGATATCCAAAGACCAATTTAAGAAGAGTTAACCACATCTTTTAGAAAAGCTTACAATGTAATATTGGAATTAAATTAATGATGCTGTGTATTCTGTCATCCACTCATTTGAATATGCTATTGATGATAATCATTGGAATAAAATACATGCTATTCCCTGACTTAAATCCATCTGCATAGTTAGATAGCACACAATGGATCTTGCCAAAACCAGCTTGCCCTACTCCGTTGCACCATTAATCAAAGGTACAGTCACTTTCTCTTTTTAATTCCAGGTGTGCAACGCCAAACTCCTCTAAAGTGCAATATGACACTAGCTAAATCTAGTGGACCCGGGAAGACCTAGGGTGGGAGTGGAAATCACCCGGTAGCATTTCTCAGTATTAAAGCCAGGGTTTTCCTGCAGGCTTCCACTGGTTTGAATTTTCTTAAGCATTGTCCTGAGTCTATTTTCAAATGGAAAAAAAAAAAAAAACACTAGATCAGAATCAGAAATAGCTATTGATTCCCAGCTTGCTTTTCAAGCCTGGCAGAGGCTGTAAAAGTATTAACTTCTATCCGCTAAGTCGGCCACAGTCCGCAGCGGCAGCGCTGGGCTTTCGAGGAGCCGACTTCAGCACCGCGCTCTGGACAGCGACCCTGGCCGGGGCCAAAGTTGGGGCGGGCAGTCCCGACTCTGGCTTTGGGGCGCGGGTCTCCAAACTGCCCAGCGAGAGACCGGGAAGAAAGACTTGCAAAAGCTGCCAGAGGCGGAACGGGACGTCGGAGCGTGAACTTTGTTGCCCATGCATGGCTGCCAGGCTGCGCCCTGATGGGCTGGGGGCCCTAGGACCACCGCGGGAGGGGGGAGCGCGCGCCACGGGGCCGGGGCCGCCGGAGTCGGGGCGAGGGCGGCGCCAAGGGGCAGGGGGACGCCGGTCACCCTGAGCCCGGGGCAGGGGCCGGGGACGCGTTACCTGCCCGTGGAGCACTCCTGGGCCCCCAAGGCCGGCGGCGGGGGAGGGGGATAGGGAGCGGGGAGCGGGCGGGGGCGCGGGGAGCTAAGGGCGCGCCTGGCCGGGATCCCGCGGATCGCGCCCCGGGCTCAGATGTGGTCACCGGAGGCCTCCGGCTCTCGCGGACGGAGCGCACGCCGGGGAAGGCGCACACGGCCCGGCCCGGAGCCGGGGTCCAGCAGCAGCAGCAGCGAGCGGAGGCCAAGGTGGAGGCGCTGGGGCCTGGCACGTCCCGCCGCCGGGCGGGGCTGGGGGCGCTGGCGCGGACCGCTCTCTGCCTGGCTTTATCGGGGTCAACCGCGGAGGGCCCCGAGGGGACGCTGGCTGCAGCCTCCGACGCCAAGCGGGCACCAGTTGCCACCGGGGACGGGTAGATGACCCTCTCTCTGGAGAATCTGCCAAACCCTTTCCCAGGCCCCCAGCGGGCCCTCCGCCCAGCGGCCCCTACGCCGCGCCTCAGCACCCAGGTGCTGCTCTCCGGGCAGGTCGCCTCCGGGCCTTTGCACAGGACGTCCGGTGGTCGCTGGGATTGCCCGTTGTGAGCGGGCCCTGGGCTGTACTGAGTCCAGAATTGTGCGGCTCCTTTCCCCACCGCACGCGGCCTCCGCAGTGCCGCCCTGCGCTGCCTGGGGCCAAGGACCACCACCCCTCCTGCAGGGACCCTCGCTCGGCCTGCACCGTGGAGCCTGGCTTAGCGCTGGGCATACGCAGTCGCCGCCAGGCGGCGCGCGCCCCTGCTGACCTCGGTCCTGCTGCAGACCAGGGTCCCGCCCCGTCTCTCGCTGGGATGCCGGCCCAGCTCCGGGCAGCTCGTGCAGATAGCTGGATGGAGACTTCCATGCTAATGAACTCCTTAGGGCGCCGGAGAAACCTCGGCTCAGCCACAGCGCAAGCCCAGTGCTTCTCAGGAGCATTTGGTGAAGGGCCTTCCTGACGCCTGAAGAAGGAAGGTTTTATGAAGTGTGCTTTTCAAAGCTGGCATAAAGGGTCTACCCTGACCTGAGCACCCACCCAGGTACACCCACGGACACACCTGAGACTCTCCAAACACCAGCAGTCCTCACCTCCAGGCGGGTGCCCAGACCTCCCTCCTGAGATAAGCTGACCGTGCAGAGTGCTTTCCATTTGCTTCCAGGGTGGTTTCCTCATTCTCCCAATTTGCTTAATTTCCTCCTGGCCCGGCATGATTTCTTTTCCATCAGGGCATATGCTAATTTACATAGCTGGCATCTCCATGTTTTCCTCCACGCGAACCATTTTTCAATTAGCAAGTTTATCTCTTTCTTTGATGAAAAAGGGCTGGCAAGATTTTTTTTTTTCTCAGCTACCATCAGAAAGCTCTGCAGATTCTGAGCCTGTTACTCTTCAGTGTCAGCCTTTAATTCATGCACGCCCCTGCTAGGTGTCTTGATCTTGGTGCCCACAGCCAGGCTAAGGGATTGGGGCCAGCGATTTGGGGCAGGCCAAGGTGGACCCCTTGAAGGGTTCTGTTTGAATAGGAGTTATTCACCCCTTCTCCACGGTTTGGAGGCTGGCAGTGCCCAGATTGTGTGCTGCTCCCAGAAAAAGAGAAAACCATGTGCACAGACTCCACGCTTCCGGGAAGCAGGCGTTAGCCGTGATCTGGGGGTGCTTCAGATCTGGGGGGAGTGCCACTCATTCCCATGCAGCCCTGTCCTTGGAGTGGTTCTGCTAAAGTCAGCTTTTGTCAACTGGCGATATTTATTCCCCCTCTGGCTTTTTGGTGCCCTGGGCACAGGATGCCTTGGGCAGCTGCTCGGCTCTGAACAAGAACTGGGAAATCACAACTATGTTCACTCAAAGATCCTCAAAGTAGCCCAGACTCCTCCGCTGCTTCCTGCCATGGGCTTGACTATATTCATTTATCCCAGCGCTCGAGCCCCTTTCCCTCCATGCTGCGTGCTGGGTTCTGGGGACACAGCAGAGGACAACACGGGTGCAGAGCGATCTCCACGAATTCATTGATTAACTGATATGACAGGGGAGCCAGGAGATGGGCTTATCCCCTACTTCTGGCTCCTGTTTCAATCACATTCATCTCAAGGTCTTCCCCACACACCCCACGCAACCCAGGAACAACCGGACACCCTCGTGGATAGGAGAAGCCACTCTCCTAGACACTCTCATTCCAAGGGGTATTTAAGAGGACTCTTTACAAGAGCCCTGTTCTCTGTCAGGACTGGAAACCACCACCGGTCTGTGAGCGAGGGCTCCGTGCCAGGTAAAAGTGAGAAAGTGAAAGCGCTAGTTGCTCAGTTGTGTCTGACTCTTTGCAACCCCATGGACTGTAGCCCAACAGCCTCCTCTGTCCATGGGATTCTCCAGGCAAGAATGCTGGAGTGGATAGCTGTTCCCATCTCCAGGGGATCTTCCCAATCCAGGGACTGAACCTGGCTCTCCTGCATTGCAGGCGGCTTCTTTATCGTTGAGCCACTGGGGAAGCCCTGGCGCTCAGGTGGATGCTGGTAGGCCTGTGCAACCGGTGGGCAGATGCATGTACCCGTCAGTGACCCAGGGGGTCAGCCCTGGGCCAGCACCCCATCAACTCAGGCCCTATTTCTCTCTGTAAAAATCACTGAGAAACTGTCCTCGTAAAGGGTTTTACACAGCGTCTAGTCTCAAGTTCTCCTAACCAATAAAAGCAACCTTCAGTCTGCCTGTATTATTCAGGCAGAACCAGCAGAAATTTCCAGCTAATCTATGACAGACTCTGAGGAAAGGAGATCCACACCAGGAGAGACGTGTGAATCAGCCTCATATGCTAATAAGTTCTGAATTGCTTATTACCTTGCAGGAAAAAAAAAATGTTGAGTGTTAGGGAGAAATCAGTGGAGTAAGATTTTGCAGCTTGTAGAATGATTTATCTTCAAGTTTTTAAAAAACTTTCTCTAAGTAAAATATAATAGACCGCCCCCCACTTCCCACAAAAGAGAGAGAAACAGAAATATGAAGGTACTTTCTTCAGGCCTGCAGAGTTAAAAATAATCCTCAGGGGGATGGGGTGGAGGGGAGGGTGGAGGACTGAGTTGTCACTTTGGCAGCGCCCTGCCCCACCCACCTGCTCACACTGCCAGAACATCTTTCCAAAACAAAGCTAATCCTGCCCGGTGCTTCCTTGCTGAAGACTCACCAGCTGTGATGTGATGAGGCCCGGGATGGAAGCCACGAACGTGAGCCACCATCTCAGAGGCTGGCATCTTCAGGACGACTGGTGCTTTGATACCTGGCTCAGCGCGGGTGAGAAGGGGCTGGTGGAAGAGTGCTTTTCCTACATTGTGCTCAACTCGGGAGTCTGACTTGAGCATCCTTTCCCAGGGACAAGCACCCAAGAGGAGAGGCTGCTCTAGGCAGGACGGCTCGGGAGGCCCCGAGGGACACCTGGAAAGACCCACCCAGGACCTGTCGTGCTTGTAAGCTCCAGCCCGGTCAGCAACAAAGCCTTGGCTGGAGACACAGAACGTGAGTTAGCAGAAGGGTGGAGGGGGCGGCTGTCTTCAGCCCCTGAGACGGGACTTGGGGATGGGGTCACCCCAGATGAGCACAGAGCCGGAGAGGAGCGGCTGCAGGGGGCCAGCGATGGAGATGGTGCTCCCTGGGAGACACAGAGGGAACCCGAAGGCAGCTGGGAGCACAGAGCCACCGGCCGGGCACCAGAGTGCTTGTTTGTTGAAGGGTTTTTATCACTGCTTTTTATTATAAATGTGGTACTGAAGACTATCTGGAAAATATAGCAAAGCATCATGAATCAAGCCCACAGGTAGAAAAAGGAATATGAACCTTTGTTGACCTCCCTCCACAGTATATTTTTTTTTCTACTCATCTCTATCGTGATCATGTCTATTATACACAGTGTATCTTATTACATTTTATGTTAAATTGCATTTTATAACAACTAATTTTAAACCTTATTTTTCACTCAGCATCGCATGAGGGGTTCCCCACATTATTGAAAATCCCCAGAGGAACCCGTTACCCACAGCAGAGCAGACAGCCAGCGAGGACGAGCAGGAGGAGAGGGGAGTCTGCCCCGACAGGGGTGAGTCAGCAGTGCACCCCACTCAGCAGCCTGTCCACTTTGTAGTTATAAAGAACTGCCCATCGACCCACCTGACTTCCCACCTATCCATCGATCCCAAATGCTGGGGTGCATAGACGCTGTGTGGGGCACCGTGGAGCCCTTGAAACCAGACACCTCCCCAGTGGATACTTGAGGTTTTAGTCCTAGGATGCCGAGGACAAGGCAGACCTTCCCCCCCACCGCCACCGCCCTCCCATACCTTCAGCTGCTACCCTCTGCAGAGCCACTCTCAAGGTCCACACTGATCCCTGGTCAGCTCAGTGGGGCTGGACAGCAGGAACCGAGCACTGTCCTCTCCTCTCTCCACCACGCCTGGTAAGGAGCTCCCGGCCTCCAGCGACTAGACCAGAGGATGCCTCATGTTGGAGGGAAGTCCAGCCCAGGTGACTGCTGCGTCCCCAGTGGGTGCAAAGACAGGTCAGCGATCTGACCATGTTCCGTCCAGCCGACAGTCATGCGGCCAGGGCCCTGCAGGTCGTGTCCTGCCTGAGGGCGCCCAGCCAGCGAGGGGCTGGGGCCAGCCAGGCCCTGGGAGGTGTCCACCCAGAGAGGCGACTTCCAGGGACCCAGGCCGCAGCAGCCTGGGCCCTGGGCTCTAGAGAATGACTGTGAGGGAGAGAGATGGCCCCCATGAAGCTTAGAGTCCAGGGGGTGGCGACGACACGACAGCACCAAACAGGCAGCCACGACGACACGGGGGCCCTGCTCATCCGGGGTGCTCAGGCCTGAGCCAACAGGGGCAAGGGGCGGGCCCAGCATCCTCCCCGAGGCCCCGCCCCAGCCCGGCCTTCCTTCTCCTTAGGCCCGGGTGCACCCGAGAAGGGAGGGCGGCCAGAAGTCGGGGGAGCAGCTGGGTACTCGCAGGCTCCCGGCAGCGGTGGGGGTCCTCTGCCCCGGCCCCTTCACGTCGGGCGCTGTCTGCCGACCCCCGCTGGGGGCGGGGCTTTCATCCTATCAGAACAGGACTTACGGACACTTAGACCAGGAGGGACCGACAGCTGTCGGCGCCATGCCGTCTCAGAGGCCACACGATGCGTCGGCTTCTTTTTGGCGCTCACATTGCCTGGTGTGATTTGCAGGGTCTGGAGACACAAAATTGTTCGCATTTTTTCCACAGGCCTGACAACTAGGAAGCCAGACAACAATCATGACACATGCTAAGTGGGCCTTTCGCCAGTCAGAAAACGCCCAGACTACCTATTTGGACACAGATGTTTGTGCTTGGGTATAGTTGCATTTTGTTCCATCAGAGCTTGCCGACCCCGCACCAGACGAAGGCACTGTGTTAATCCCGCTCCAACCTGTCCGACACTGAGCACTCGCCCTGGTTTTCTTAAGGAGCGAATTCCCATCACCCCTGGCCCCATGGGGAGAGCCCTGGGCATCCTTCAGCTTAATGACACAGTGGCCGGGCCACACCCTGGCTCATAAGAGGGGCCAGGGGCGGCAGACGTGTCACAGCAGCCCGGCTAATTGGGAGCAGTTCAGGAGGAGAAGCAGCTTGGTGGGAACTGGGGAAGAATATAGATTATCAAGAGTGTTTATGATACAGTCTTACTGTTTGGGGCTGTTATCCAGAGCACCAGGTGACGGGAGGTTGGGGAAACCCCGCTGGACGGGCCTGAGCCAGGGAAGGTGAGAGGCGCCAGCAATTAGCGTCTGGAAAGCATTCGCCTCCCTCCACCGGCTCGTCCACCTCTTCTGTGCGAGGCTTTGCTTTGCAGTTCCAACCAGGGTCAAACGAGCGCTGAGTCTACAGTACGGCCTGCGTCCAGCACACAGCCACGGCTGTTTCCCTAGAGGCTCCAGAAGAGCAAGATTCCTGGGCGGAGAACTGTCCGCGGCGTTCCCAGCAGCAGAGCTGGCCAGGATGCTGAGCATCATGATGCCCCTCCCCGTCTGTGAGCAGCGACCGCAGTGCCCGGGTGCCAGGCCCCCCACACAGGCTCGCCGGGCCAGCCGCCAGCTGGCCAAGCATGCCCTGACGCAGCCTGTGGTGGGAGCCAAGTGCCGGGGCTCAGAGCGCTGAGAGGGGTGGATGTGGGGCCTTCACAGACTAGGGCTAGGCCGGGATGACGCACCCTTGACCTCATACATGCCTTGACCCCGCTTCCCTTCCCATTGGCAGGGTGTGGCCAGACAGCTGTTCTCCAAAGTCTTTGATTTCACCAAGCAGTGCGTCTTCCGGAGAGGTGACAGTCTGAACACAGTGGTCATCATCCTTCAAGTGCCAATTCTCTGACCTCAACAGTGAGCTGTATCCCAACAGGAAAAAGGAGGAGACGCTTGAGATGCTCGCTGTAATTCTCACCTTGATAAAATATTCTCAGGGTAAGGGGGAGAAAAAGTTCACAGAAGATGGTCTGTGTTTTTTCTCCCCTGAACTGTTAACTTAAATAATTCTGTGAATTCAGCAAATTCTCCCACTTAACCTTTTCTCTGACTCTTCCAACTCATTAATAAATAGAGTGAAATAGACTTGCTCTGGGACCAGTCTCTGGGGCGTCCAACTTCTGACCTTTTTCTCTGTTCAGAATCAGACAGGGCAGGAGTTTTGATTATTTAAGGAGCTAAGTAGTGAGGTGGAGGTGCCTCCCTGAAACCAGGGTGTCCCGGGAGTGAAGCTTCTGCGGGGACACTGGCTGAAGGACAGCTAGGCCACCGCGCTGCTCAGCAGCCTGCTCTGCGAGCCTCCTGGGGTGAGCAGGAGACCAGGCAGGGCGGGCTGGCTCGGCAAAGTGGCAGCCTGCACCCTGCACTCAGCCACTCCATGGGGTGTCCGTAAGTGCTGGGGGCAGGGGCCCCACGCCCAGCTCGTAAGGATCCCGTCTCCCCCACCACCTGGCACTTCTGGCCAGCTCCCTGACGTCCTTGGACCTCAGTTGTCCACAGGTGAGAGGGGCTTGAATCAAGTCAGCGTTTTCACACAGTGTGGGGTCTCTGAGCTCAGCCTGTGCCCGTGTATCCTGAGTAGCCATGTGATTCTGGACGAGTCTACCCACCTTCCTAGGCTCAGTAACCCCCTGTGGCAACCAGAGGTAGGACACATCATCTTGGGACGAACCTGATGGAGGCAAAGTGGGGGAGACCCTCTGGGGACGTTGCCAGCAGAACCCACTGAGGAGGATGTCACCGAGGCTGGTGAAGGTGGATAAGGCACACGCGTCCATGTTTACTGCGTTTCTCTGTCCCACAGCGTGTCCCTGACCTCAGCCCCTGGTCAGGCCTGCGTCCCCACTGCGGGGAGCACAGCAGCTCAAGGAGAGAAGACGTCACCGTCCATCAGCTGTGGCGACAGACTGTCAGTCCATCAGCTGCGGCGACAGACTGTCAGAGGTTCGAGGCTTGCACAGCAAGCCTTTACTTGCCAAAGTTCAGGAGGCTGGTGAAGCCAAGATGGAGACATGGGTAGATCCCACATCTGGCGGGGAAGGGCTTCCCGGCCGGTGGACGGCCGTCTTCCTGCTGTGCGCTCTCAGCCGAGGGCAGGAGGAAAGCAAGGTCCCTGGGGCTCCGACAGGAACACTGATCTCTCCAAGGGCTCCATTTCCATGAGTATCATCCGCTCATCTCCCGGAGGCCCCACCTCTGCCTGCGGGGTTGGCTTTCAACCTGTGACTTACGGAGGCACATATGTTTCCTGCATTTGTGTGCAGAAGTTTCTGAATTCCATTCCCAAATCAAAATGTGCCAGAGCCCGTGGAGTTTGCGCCGTCGAGGGGCCTTCCTGCCGTGACTTGCTGATTGGATGGCAGCCTTTCTGCGCTCCCAACCAGCGAAACTGCCTCAAGACCTCACCCCACTCTGGGCCCCTGAACTCTGGAAGTCCCACCTGCTAGCTGGGGCCCTTGGGTCAGGTGCCAGGCCGGCCAGCCGTGGCCACCCCTCTGCAGCCTCAGATGTCTCAGAAGTGGCACCGTGCTTGGCACAGAGAAAAAGGCAAAGGTTTATAAGATAAGACAAAACAATCCTGAGGGAGGGCCGGGGCAAACACCTCCCCGAAGCTCTGCTTCCGGGGAGAGCACCGTCCGCCCCAGCGGGCACAGGCCTGTGCATTCCAGAAGCAAGCGCAGGCTGTGAGCCCAGCTCCGTCTGCACCTGCTGCCTCCTCGGCTCCGTGTGAGAAGAGCCCAGCACACGCAGACAGCGGCGGGGCTGCAGCAGACGGGAGCCGCGTCCCCACCGCGGACTCTGCCACCACTGCCCCCGGCACCCGGGGCTTTCCAGCGGGGCCGGCTTCCTGGTCCCTGGACGCCCCAGGGCTCTGTCCTATCAGCAAGACCTGGCCGAATTACAGGGGGACAGACAGGTTTGAGGAGGAGAGAGGGTGCCCACAGGGCAGACACCCCTAAAAGCCCCGCCCTGCGGGACCCAGACCCGCCCTGCGCCTGCTGTGCTCAGCCCTACAGGGCCAGCCCCACTGCGTGGTTCTGAGCGTGGTGCCCCTTCTCCCACGGTCCCTCCCTGCTCCCGCTCTCTCTCTCCGGCCAGAGTGACCGTCTGAGTCTGTGAAAGTCAATGTTCACCCAAAGTGGAGGCCTGGCTGCTTGGGCAGCGCTGGGAGGGGCTGGGCGGGCATCTGCCTGGGCCAGGGCCGTGCCTCCGCCCAGCGCCAGCGACGCGACACAGACCCAGCTTCGGGATCAAGTCCTCTCCGCCAGCCCTCGGGCAGAAGTACCCTCAGCCCTGCAGCAACATCGCCTTCTCTGGTTGTAATAGTGCAGTCGTGTCCCGCCGGGGTGTGGGGCCACACGGGGCCTGATCGCCTTCTCTGGTGGCAATGGCCATGTCCTGCCTGGGTGTGGGGCTCCTCTGACCATCGAGGGTACTAGCCTGACTGGGGGCACAGGTCAGCTCAGCGCCAGGCTCTGAGACTAGGAGCAGGTCTGAGCCCGGGTGGCCTGCTCCCCAGATACCAGCTGCCTCTCTGCCCATCGAAGCCCCTCCGCCTCCCCGCCCTGTCCCTGTTTCTCCTCCCACACAGTCTTCCTCGCCGCCCTGGCTCCGGTCCCACTTCACCACCTGGCGCTGGAAGGCACCCCTGGGTCCCTGGCCCTCAGGGCCTGTCCAAGGACCACCCCCTCCGCCTTGTCCTCCTGATTCTGGTGGAGCAGCTTCAGGTGCCCCGGGGTGTGACGGAGACTCCCTGGGGGTGGGGAGGCCCCAGAGCACTCCAGGGGGCCCACAGCCATGAGGACACCCCCTGCCCTCTGCCCAAAGAGTCTCTCGGCTCTAAACAGCGTGCATCGTGTTCATGGAAGCAGGAGCATAACAGACCGGAACTCTTCCTCACACTGGTCAAATGACTTACGCTTTCAACACAGTTTCTAGGGTGAAACACTGAGACAAAAGTACAGGCCTTCCCAGGTGGCTCCATAAAGAACCCACCTGTCAATACAGGAGACATAAGAGATGCGGTTCAGTCCCTGGGTCAGGAAGATCCCCTGGAGGAGGGCGTGGCAACCCACTCCAGTACTCTTACCTGGAGAATCCCATGGACAGAGGAGCCTGGAGGTTTACAGTCCATAGGGCCGCAAAGAGTCAGGCCCAAATGAAGCGACCTAGCACTAGCACACGATTCAGAGAAGGCGACGGCAGCCCGCTCCTGTAGGCTCGCCTGGAGAATCCCGTGGACGGAGGAGCGCAGCGGGCTGCGGTCCGTGGGGTCGCTAAGAGCCGGGCACAACTGAGCGACTTCACTCAGAGAAGGAAATGGCAACCCACTCCGGTGTTCCTGCCTGGAGAATCCCGGGACGGGGGAGCCTGGTGGGCTGCCGTCTATGGGGTCGCACAGAGTCGGACACAACTGAAGTGACTTAGCAGCAGCAGCAGCACATGATTACAGGTTAAAACAAAACAAAACAAAAAAAAACAGGGCTGATTTGGGAGTAAAGAAAAGGCAGAGGGATTCCTAGAAGCTGAAAATGACGAGGGAATCCTACATGGAAACATGGTTAAACTGAAGGCGTCATCTGACCGGGACACTTGCCGTCCGTGGACCCAAGTGCGCC